TCTCTCTCTCCCTCCCTCCCGTGCGACTTTCCTTCTGTGTATTTCTTTTTTTTTTTCCTTTGTGTATTTCATTTTCTTTTTCCTTCTTTTTCTTTTTTTTTTTCTCTACTGTGTCGTCCCTACAGAAGCGGGGCCCGACTTTCTGGCTACGACCGGGCCTTCCCTTGGCCGACCCCCCTAAGGCTGCGGCGCGTATACGGGAAGGCCCGCGGCCGATAGCTGAGCGAGGTACTGGTGGTTTAAAGGAAGTAAAATTCAGCTTAGGGTGCTCCTGTCAGCCAATGGGCTGGTGGCCATGGAATTCGTCGCCGCGTTTTCTGGGTGTGTGCTGCACTGAGCCAATGGGCTGGGTCCTCTGAAAGTCGTTGCTGTCAGGTCATTATGACATTTGGCAGTACACATGACTTTGTTTCTTTTTTTGTCGGCCTATTTGTGCACGCGAAGCACTGTATGAAGGTCACAATATTGCCCCCCCCCCCAAAAAAAAGTCTGGAAAACATGACGCTGCTACAGTGATTTTGAAATAAAAGAAAAAGGAACAAATGGCGAAAGTGCGTAGCTGTGTAGCATCATGTTCGAGTTCGGTGACTGAACCCAAACGTTTGTGACCGCACGCGAATGAGCACCAAACGCAAACATAAAAATATTTATATATGTAAAAACAATTCTCAGAAAAATCTGGAAAAAAAAAATGTTATGTGAAATAATAGCTCAGTTGGTTAGGCACGCAAGTGGCATTCAGGAGGTTGTGGGTTCAAGCCCTATGACCGCCTGCGGCGCACTTAGTGCCAACGGACTGTGATAGTCTTCTGGATACCCCTGAGCGGTATGAACGGGGTCTATGAGCAACACGGGTGTGAGTGCGAGCGTGAGTGGGTTGTGCGTGGTGTGTGGGAGTGTTGGCCATAGCCTCTGCTGCTACTCGATTTGGGGTGGGGGATGATGAGAAAGGGAGGCGCAGCTACTGGCAAAATGCTCTGTCTTTGCGTTAGCCGGACCCCCCACGGGCGACCCCACCCCATCTCTGACTACAACTGTTGGGGCGGGGGGCAACATGAATTACCTCGTTTGCGAGGCCCTATGCTGGCAGGGGTCCCCTCTATATAGTCTTTAGGAGCAATGGTAGGAAAGGTAGTGAAAGCTGAGTACGAACGCCGCCCGGCCGGGCCGCCCGGGCAAACCGGGCGGGCAAAAAAACAGCCCAGAATTTTTTATTTTTTATTTTTTGAAGGTGGGGTCCTCCTGTGCTCGGCGAGAGGACCCCGAATCTGCAGTAAAATTCTGGTTTGGGGGGGGGACGAGTTGCCCGGGTGTGAGGGGGGGG